TCACGGTCTCTCCTGCCCGGGTTGGCTTTGAACCGCGATCCTCAGATCTCAGCCTCCTGAGTAGCTAGGATTACAGGCGTGAGCCACCAGCGCCCGGCAACTAAGTGAATTCTTACACATAACATTTACCTAGCATTGCCTGTTCTCTGAGAGGCTCCACCTCTTGCTCTATGTAACGCAGACTCTCTTCTCCTCCTTATTCTCACTGGCCCTCCACTGTGGTTCAAATTTGAAGGAAGAGGTCTCAGGGATTCCAGCATGCCATGAAGTCTCTGCAGCCCAGTGATGAAGTTGGTTATAGAAGCCAAGGAAGATACTCGGTTTCTGTGGTTAGCATCAGACATGTGCCTATGCTCCTCTGAAGTTTCTGGATTGCTGTTTTCCACACCCTCTACTTCGGCAGTCAAGTCAACAGACTCTGGCAGGGCAGGCTGGAGCGGGGGTGGTGCCTCTTGACTACTGACCAGTACAGCAGGAGCAGGTGGTTCGGTAGGATCACCTAACTGATCCTGAAGATCACAGTCCATTGCTTCATGAGCCATTACTGGGGGAATAGTAGTCATAAAAAGAGTATTAGTAAAATTGAGAAAATACTGTATCTGTGATCTAACCACGTCTTTCAGAATCTCCTCCAGCAAGAATCAGCACAACTAAGAAAACTAAAGACTTTACTTAAGTCAACTTCTCGTCCCATAAAAAGTTTGTTTTTTGAGTTTTTTTTTGTTCTTTTTTCTTTTTGCTTATGTGGTGCTGAGGAATCGAACCCAGGGCCTCATGCATGCAAGGCAAGCACTCTACCACTGAGCCAACTTCCCAGCCCCTGTTTTTGTTTTTAACATAGAGCCTTACTATGTAGCCCCAGGCTGGTCTTAAACTCAAGACTCCCTGCTTCTAACTGTCAAGTAATGGGATTATAGGAATGCATCACACACCCTGAGAAGTACTTATATCAGGGCTTAGAGTCACTCATCTCTAATCCCAGCATTCCAGAAATTAAAGGCACATTCCAGGTAGAACTGTGAATTCAAGACCAGCTTCTCTTTTAAAAAAAAGAGAGAGGAAGGGGTGAGAGAGAAAGAAAGCAAGAAAATGAGGGCTAGAAAGGTGGCTCTGTGGTAGAGTGCTTGCCTTGCATGCATGAGGCCCTAGATTCAATTCCTTAGCACCACATAAACAGAAAAAGCCGTAAGTGGTGCTGTGGCTCAAGTGGTAAAGCGCTAGCCTTGAGCTGAAGAGCTGAGGGACAGTGCCCAGGACCTGAGTTCAAACCCCACAACTGACGGAAGAAAAAAAAAGGCAGAAGTGGCACTGTGGCTCAAGTGGTAGCATACTAGCCTTGGCCACAAAAGCTCAGGGGCAGGACCCAGGCCCAGAATTCAAGCCCCAGGACCAGCAAAGGTAGGGGAGTGGGGGGCGGGGGAGAGGAGAAAGAAAAGCAAAGCAAGGCTGGAAGCACTTTAGTAGATTACCAACAGTGAGCAAAAGAACCCATTGCAACCCCGAGGCCCCGAGTTCAAATTCTGATACTAGCAAAACTGCCACAAAACAACTCAAGCTCTGGGCTGCAATGTACTCTTTCAAATACACCAAAATAAAAAACAACAGGCCTGCCATACTATATGGCAGAAAAACTGAATGTTTTAGTCTCAATAGTAAAGTTCCTGCAACAGCACCATTCTGTAGTTAAGTTTCCCAATTGGCCTGGGAGTGAGGGAAGGGGGTGCAACAGTGCTGCTAGACCCAAGAGGCCACTGAGCGCGGCGACTGCAAGTGTGTAGCTCCAACAAGGGATACCACGTCCCAGCGGGTGCCCAGGACCTGCAGGAATTCCCTCGGAATGGGGGATCGCTGCTCTGGGTCACTTACTTCACTTACTACCTAGAAGTCCTCAAGTGGCTTGACTGACCTCAGCCTAACTTGTCGGCCCGTAAAAGATGTGAAGACACTTCGGTCACTGCGTGTCGGAGAAAATAAAATTCTATTCCATTGAACGTGGAATTAGTAGACTAGTAGCTGGCCTGGGGGAGGAGGGGCCGGAAGAACGCCGAGCTCCGCCCTCTCCCCCCCCCACAGCCCAAAGGCGCAAACTCGCCAGCCATCCCCTCCCCCACCACCTACTCCCATTACCCCGCCTCACCCCCATTATCTCCCATCCCCACCCCTGCCCCCCACTCCACCCCCACCGCCCCCCATCCCCACTCCCACCGCACTCCCGGCCCACCACGGCCCGGACCTCCTCAACCTCGACCTGCGGCCGCCCAGAATCTCCTCAGGCCGCCAAGTTCCAAACCCGCCATGGCCCACCTTCTGCGGCGACTCTAGGCCCCACGACTAGGGACCGTAACCCAGTGAAGTTAGGCCAAAACTGGAGGCTCGAAGCTTGGAGAGAAATAAGAGGCCAGTTTTGCTAAGGCCGAAAGACCGCGGCGGTCAGCCGGACGAGCTCCGACGTTTACGGTTACCTCGGCAGACTACGGCGCCGACCGGAACTTCCCTTCAAACAGCTCAAGCTCCCGGCCCGCGACGCGGGCCAAGTAACCTCCTATTGGACAGCCGCTCCAGCCAGCAACCAATCATCTCTCTTCTTCTACTGGCCATCGCTGGATAAAATGGGGTTCTCATTGGTTAGTTGGTCTTAAAGGGCGGGAACACGTGCTAAACAGTCTCATAAAATTGGTAGACTTGTCTGTCTGTCATTCGCGCCCAACCCCCGGAACAGACAAGCGGAAGTTTTTTGTTTTTTAAAATAGTTTAATCGAACTTTGGAGGGAAAAAGGTTTAAAGATTTCGCAGTCCATTTTTTCCCTGTGTGTATGTTGGTTGTGGGACAGGACCTGGATACTGTCCTTGAGCTTTTCCCGCCCAAGGCTGGCTGGCTACCATTTGAGCCAGGCTCCACTTCTGGCTTTTTGTGATGAATTGGAGATTAGAGACAGACTTCGAACTGCGATCTTCATCTTCAGATCTCAGTCTCCAGAGGAGCTAGGATTACAGGCGTGAACCACCAGTGCCCAGCTCTGCTCTGGGTCCACTTCAGAATGGAAGTGTTAAAACTATGACTTTTTAGGTTTGGAATTGTGATTCAGTGGTAGAGGACCTGCCTAGCAGGCCTTGAATGCAATTTCCAGTGCCACAAACAAATACTCAAAACCTGTGGCTCCTACTGCCTCTTCCTACTCTTGGTTGGAGCTTACCTTTACCCAAAGGGTAGTAGCTAATGGAACAATTTTTAAATATTGCCTCTAGAATTCTGGACCCTCGATAGGGAATAACTTGTTCTTATTGGTCTTCTCATGGAGTCGAAGAGCTTGCCAATGCTACCTTAAGCGAAAAAGAATTCCCACTATTTCTTTCACCTGACACCACTCCAATAAATTGCCTACTATTATAAATACCTCACTTCACTTAACAGCAAAGGGTTTTCAAGCCTCTCTCTTTTTTTTTTTTGCTGGTCGTGGGTCCTGAACTCTGGGTCTGGGCGCTGTCCCTAAGCTCTTCAGCTCAAGGCTAGCGCTCTACCACTTGAGCCACAGTGCCACTTCCAACCTTTTCTGCTTATGTGGTGCTGAGGAACCGAACCCAGGGCCTCATGCATGCAAGGCAAGCACTCTACCACTGAGCCACCTTCCCAGCCCAAGCCTCTCATTTTTTATAAGATGAAATCGCGCTTTTTTTTTGTCAGTCGTGGGGCTTGAACTCTGGGCCTGGGCGCTGTCCCTCAGCTCTTCAGCTCAAGGCTAGCGCTCTACCACTTGAGCTACAGTGCCACTTCCGGTTTTCTGGTGGTTTATTGGAGATAAGAGTCTCACAGTCTTTCCTGCCCGGGCTGGCTTTGAACCGCGATCCTCAGATCTCAGCCTCCTGAGTAGCTAGGATTACAGGTGTGAGCCACCAGCGCCCGGCGAAATCGCGCTTTTTTTATTGAAACTTCAGGCAGGCTGCACATTGCTAAAATTTTATTAACTGAGCTTTCATATTCAATGAGATTGGTAGCAGAGAAGAACATAATTGAAATTCATAGATACCCAAACATTGTCTTCAATATTCTCGCACCAAGGCCATCAACATATATATACTTTATCTTTCTGTCCAAAGAAACAGCTAATTGAAGGAGAAAGGAGTTTTTCATTTAGAAACCAAACTGATACATTATGGAGCAGGAGGGAAAAAAAATTGTATGTGTTTCATTGTTAGACAAGAGGAGCCTGCTTTATGCAGATAATTAAAAAATACAAAGAAGCCAAACAGAAAAATGGGAGGTCTGAGGACTTGGCACAAAAGGTAGAATACCAGCTTAGTAAGTATGAGGCCCTGAGTTCAAATACCAGAACTGAAAAACCAAAGAAAATAATATTTTCTAAATTTAAAAAAGGGGAGGGGGAGAAAAATGGTTTGGTGAAATCCTTATCAATGTTGTGTAACATCTTTATTTAAGATGAAATGGCCATTTACTCACTTTTGGGGATTCTTTTCGTATAACTTCAATAAAGATTGTAAGCAAAGAAAAAAAAGAAATGGCTGTTTATGCTTGAAATTTTTTTTCAGATTCCAATTGATACTTTGTTGGGCTGTGGGGGTGTAGAGAAGGAAGCAGGACCACTGGCTTCTCCCCAATAATCCTCTACTTTGCCTGCCTTAGATCGCTGGGGAGATTTAGTGGAGACTAGAGGCAGATTCTCCTTGGCTGAGTGATTAAGTGGCAGCCTCCATGATTCCTGCACACACAGCTATTCAAATGTATCTGGAGCTAGGCAGCCTGTGGCTTACGCCTAGAATTCTAGCTGCTCAAGAGGCTGACATCTGAGGAGAAAGTTCTGAAGTCAGCCTGGGGAAGGAAAGTCCATTAAACGTTTATCTCCAATTAGCTATCAAAAAACCTGAAGTAGAGAGCTGTGACTCAAGTGATGGAGCACCAGCCTTGAGCTAAAAAAGCTAAGGGACAGTGCCCAGACCCTGAGTTCAAGCCCCAGTATGGGTACACACACACACACACACACACACACACACACACACACACACACACACACACACACACACACA